GGCATTCACACTCTTTATTAAGCTTAAGGTATACATTTAGCTCAAGAAATTTCCTCTTCCATTCATTTTGTACATGTACTTCATGAACATGTTACAATTACATGTATTATTTCAGCGTTGAGGATTGTTATATTGTAGGAACTTCCTATTCTGAAAGATAAGTCTGCAAAAACAAGGCGAGAGATTACTGAGTGACGTCGGTATTCTGACTTTTTGGAGGTGAAGTTAAAAGATGTTTCCCCAAAAGCAAATTCAGACTCCAGGATATTTAATTCTAAGAATGGCAAGACATACAATTCTAATATACGGAGATTAGAGTATCATGAACTTGTGAGCGATGTGCCAGTGAAACACTGTGGCCACCTCAGTGTCTTAGCCCAAGTTTTGTGTGTGTGGGAAGAAATTGGACACATCCTGTTCAGCTAAATGCGCCCAAATGGCCTATGAGTTTTGACAACTATTCAATTAATGGAATACATGTTGTAGCAAAAAGGGAACATCTGCATTTCATGGGACGCAACTACGATAGAAGGCTGCCAAGTTCAACTGACGGTGAATCCTAACCACTGGCTTGTTCTGGGTACACGCAATATCTGCCGGGAGGGAAAACATGTCATGTCATCATGTCACTCACATTGTTTTTGCCTTGACAGAGGCAGCCGACGTGCATGGCAGATTCATGAATCAGGTGTTGTAGCCTCTTCGCTTGTGGCTGGTATTGGATTTGGGGAATTACAAACTTTTTGTGAATATATTATATGAATGTGCCATGTATTACTTCCCCGGCATTTTTAAAAACTCGCCTCAGAGATCCAGGATCGCTCGTCGTCATTTGAGGATGTAATCCTCAATGAAACTATAGCTAAGGTTAAAGACGCACACAGTCAGTCAGGTGGCAGGTGAGGACGGACTGTTAAATATATCTGTAAACTACGACAGCAGTTGGCAGAAACGTGGCTTTTCGTCTAAGAATGGAGTGGCATGCGTCATTGATTTGTTGACTGGTTTGTGTGTGGACTTCCATGCAATGACAACATATTGTGCTAAGTGTGTCCAGCAGAGGAAAATTCTAAATGAAGAGGAGTTCGTTAGCTGGAAAAGTGAGCATAAGATTTTAGGTGAATGTAGTTCAAATTTTGACGGCAACCCTCGAGCTATGTGTCATGTAATAATGTAATTATTGAATAAGAAATATGCGAATGCACGCCACTAATGATTGCTGGAGCTGACCCGGAAGCTGTACCTAACTTAGGAGGGAACCTCCACTCCCCCCTGAGCTGTCACGTCGTGAACAACACATTCTGAGTACACCTCATCAAGAGACTCAACAGGTTAGTGCCTATAGATGATCTACATCTAGATCCGTTACACTATGTCAAGCTGAAAATGGTGTCCTCCAGTAAGCCAAAGCGAGCGCGTCTCAGGCTTGCAAATACTGCACTAGACATGATACTTCAAGATCATTACAGTGATAGTGATAGCCAGTATGAGCCAGACTTCTTCATGACCGGAATGTAGTTAGATCTAGAGATAGACCTAGAACAAGTGCTCAAATGACGATCACATCAAGTGTATTTAGCTGTATGGATTATGTCTAGCTCTATTTGAGTTGGAATGAGTGTGGGACTATATGTTCACTAAATGGACTACAATTTTGAACAAAAATATGAGTATATCAATTGTTTTATTGCTTTTTCCTCTTAAATTGCTGCACGAACTCCTTGTAAAAAAGTAACATTTTAACGCTTTTTTGGGTCAATGTTCATAACCTTGCTGTCATATTTCACATTATCACAGCCCCTGTTCATTTCAACGCAACATTCTATAGATCTTTATAGATATTTAAAAAATATGTGTAGTTTTGTACTTCTAAACCTATTTTGCGACAAACGGTAAATATTTTCGGACCCACAAAAGTTTTTAGGGAATAGACCATTATTTTAGTTACGTATAGAGGAAATATCCAATGAGCTGGGGCTACGTAGGGAAAGTGTTAGAGAGTCCGTTGAAACAGACGAGGCCATTACAGTCATGGACTTTGCAGAAAACCGCGAGGCCTCTTTTAACTGTGGAGGTCAAGAGTGCACACTTTGGACAGAGTCAAATCACAAAGCATCCCTCTGTGTTCTACTACACCTATGATGACAAGGGGCTAGTGAGGCACCGCACGGTTTTCCTGTCTGACGACATTTGTCACGACTACCAGACTGTGTGCATCACTTCCCAGTCCAGTCGCCGCAGGCCTTGAAAACTGCTGCTTCAAATGTAGATGAGATCTATATTTTTTTTCTCCGATGGCTGAGCTGAGTAGTGCAAGAACAAGGGAACTTTTGTTGACCTCAGCCTCTACACGGGTATCTAATGTGGTCTACTCTATTTCTTTTGCTTCAACACAAAGAACTACATACACCATTTATAAACCAGAACCTAACATTTTAACCCATAAGAAAAAGAAACGAGTGGCAAACTTAAGAGGAAATATTTGCAGTATCATCCGATTTCTAGAAAAATATCAGACCTATTTTGAGTACTTGGGAGACAATGTTCAGTACATTTAGAACAGAAACTTGAACACTCTGTGATAACAAAAGGAGTAAATCAAATATTCCGCAACTAAATCAAGAAACTTTTTCTCAAAACAGACGCATGTTGAATCAAACTATTTACAGTAGAGATAACATTTCCAACACGAGGAAGACTGGCGCAGAAGTCCCCTCCTTCACCCATCTCTTTCGACCATCCATCCAGAACTTAGAACAATCACACTGTCTTTCTGCTGTCGCCACACACACATCACTGCAACTCGTGTTCCAGTAACAACATATTGGGGATCCCGTTAGAGATGGGAAATTTCCTCCCAGTCTCTGGACAAACCAGCTCTCCTTCCACAACTTCCACCTGGGGGGAAAAAAAGAAAAAGAAAGGAAATCTCAACTCACTCATTCTGGACTTTTCAGGGGAGGGGGGGGGGGGGGGAGGGGCAGTTGAAACCATTTGGACGTAATTAATTTGTAACACTACTAACTGCAAATAATTTTGCAGGTATGGGAAAAAAAAA